GGTACTGGAAGCTCTCTTAACTGGACAGAAATGGTCTCCTCCTTTAATTTCAGTTTGAAAAATGCCAAGAGAGAACTTTACTAAATCACTTATTGGAACTGATTTAGCTCACACATCCATCTTCCGGACCTTTTTCTGTGGCAAAGGAGAAGGGTCATGGTCCCATTCAGACCATACAGCTAGTGAAAGAAAAGGGGCAATGCCCCAAAGGCAGAGGACACTGTGAGGCCTGTGCCTGTAACTAGAAACTCTGCCTAGTCAGAATTGGTTGTAATTGACAGAACTTGATTAGGAAAAGTAAAGGCATGAGCGAGGGTATTGGTTTGTGTAACCAAAGCACATGTGTGAAGCTGACCTCAGAAATGATGAAACCAGGCCCTCGTATACCATAAAGCCCTTTCTCTATTCTTTTGCCTCTCCTTCCCTGTGCATTTGGCCTCATTTTCCCAGACTCATGTTTTCCACAGGGCTGGAACCACAGCTGCTAAGTAAGACTTTTGGGCTAATATCTTCCCAGTTTTGCTATCAGAGAGGAATGTGCTCTGACCCACAGTTCCAATAAAGGATGGGCTCTGGCTGGTCCCGTATGGATAAACTGCTGGCCGCCAGAGCCATTCCCTGTCCTCTCAGGGTAGTGAGGTACTATGACTGGCCCAACCCGAGAGAGGCTCTGCTTTGTTCATGGAAGCCAATGCTGACACCCGAAAGCTCCTGTCTACCTTGTGGTATAAACGCTCTCATCTCCAACAGTCCTGGGCCTTCTCTTGCCTCTGAAAGGTCTCCTTCATGTGCATTTTTTCCTGACCCTTACACATGAATTCAGTTGACACATGAATTAATAAAAACGGGCAGCAAGAGAATCCAGGTAAATTTTCTTTTTAGCTTAAGCACAGAATTAATGTGTAGAAGGCTTGGGAAAAGAGGAACGGGTTCATTGTTTTACCCTGCTTTGTTTTTGTCTCAATATATTATGCTTAATAGATTATGAGGGAGCAAATTTAAAAAAAAGAATGATTTAGTTAACATTAGTCCCAGAGCCGCCCCCTCATAACTCTGATGCTATTGGCCTCAGGGTGTCCCCCAACACCTGGTCTCCTGGAGATAAATGCTCCTGTTTGGACTCCTTTTGACCAGAGTCAGCTGAAGCAGAATTGTAATGCAGAACAGGCTGAACTTCAGACCCCGGCTTCCTTTCTTCACACCTTTTCTCTTATCATAAATACTTTTGAAATTTTTTCATTAACCATTTATTATCAGTATTGTCTTATGTAATTTTGTTATATAATTCCATATCAGCATTACTGAATTTTAAATATTTCAAATAATTTTAACAGAATGGCATATTAAGTTGACATACTGAATTCTATTATAAGAGCTAGGGGAAGCCAGGCACCTCTCCAGCAAAAAAAAAAAAAAAAATGAACTGTTCTTAAAACACGTCTGGGATATGCAATTCAGCAATTCCTCTCTAGGAATTTATCTTAAAGAGATCATCGTGTGTATGTGCAAAAATCTAAGGATCTTCATGACAAAATTACTTAGAAAAAATTAGAAAGGAATCTGGATAACTGAGATATCCTTGGGAACTCCTTGAGTAAATCATGGCACACCCAGACAATGGAAGATTATGCAGCTATTAAACATGTTGTTTTAGAAAAACACTTCATGAGGTAGAAAATGTTCTCTACATGCTGGTTTTTTTTAAGCAGGTTATAAAACTATACGTAGAATATATTAATGGTTTTGGTTTTAAAACAAAATGATGACCAATATATACAAAAGAAATCACTCTAAAGATAAAATTATGGGCAATTTTTATTTTCTGGTTTGTATTTGTCTGCAGTGTTCAAATTTTCTATATTATTACTCCAGGTCTGAATTTAGATCAACAGCACCAGCATCTCCTGAGACCGTGTTAGAAATGCAGAATCCCAGGCCCTACCCCACACCTGCAGGATCAGAATCTGTATTTTAACAAGATTCCCAGGTGATCTGTACACACATTACAGTTTGAAAAGCAAAGCTGTATATAACTCAACATAAGAGAAATAACTATTTTAATCAAAGAAAGACCCAGGCTGGATTCTGTGACAACTGGGTTCTCCTTGGAAGGTAATTTTGATATAAAGCATAAGCAATTCTTACCTTCCACGGTCCTCTAGAAATGATTTAACGTTTCCACGTTTTTCTCATTTCAACAATAGGGCATGGAGCAGTGACAAGTCCCTCCATCTCCATTCCCTCCCCCAGCCACAGGGCCACAAAGCCTGAGCTCTCAAATGCTGCGTTGAGGTAAAGAAATATAGATTCCTCAAGAGCTACTATTCAAGCCACAAGCAGCATGTGCCAACGTTCCACCCACAATTCTGGTTCAGTCTCCATTAAGCAGCACATCTGGCTGTCACACACTCTTTTGTGGGGACATCTCAATGGCCGCACTGATGCTGCCTCTTCCCGGGCCAGCCCCACAGTGGCCTCCCTGTCCTCCCAGCATGTGATGTCATGAGCATGAATGTCCTGCCAAACATTTAAGATGCTGCAGTTCACATTGTGTACATTGTATAGAGAGACACTGACACGCAAATTTGAAATTTAAAAGAAAAAAAAACACACAGGGCAAGATACAACCAAACTTTGTTCTATTGTTATCCCAAACCACCAATTCAGCACAAATATGTAACTTGTATCCTTTAAGTACACAACCTTCTTTTTTTTCTTGCTGTCTTGTAACTAGCATCCCTAGATTCAGAGATTTCCTTGAAACATTCTGTCTCTAATTTGGTTTGTATCAAATTCTTGGAAAGCTTGAGCTAAACTGGTTCATTTCAAACCAAAGATCCCCTGCAGGTAGTCTCTTCAGACTAGGCCAAAGGTGGGGTGGGGATGGGGGGGAGGGGTGGACTCTGGATGTAACTCTCAAAGTAATTTCCCCTCTGAGGGCCATCGAAAAGGGACAAAGAGGGGATTAGCTGACCTACAGAAAGAATTGAGAAAAAGGCCTTTCCCTTCACTGTTGTTGGGGACCACCTCTTCAGAATCACTGAGGATACACAATAAAAATGCAGATTTTGGGGTACCCACCAGAGTCAGGTTTGTGGGAGCAATGTGAGGGAATTTGCATTTTACCTGACTTCCTAGTGGTGATTCTTAAATTAGAGAACTAGGGCTTTAGAGTTAGATAGACTTAAATCCAATTTTAATAGTTCTATATAGTGGCTCTCTGATCTTGACAATTTTAATTCTCTCAATCTCATTTTCCTCATCTATACAATGGGGACTCTGGAGAGAATTAAATGTGTGAAGTCCCTGGCACAAACATGTTTCAAGAGCACAAATTCCCTTTTCCCTGTTTTTGGGGTAGAGCACTTTGGGTCTGCCATTTTACCTGTGATTAGGGATACTGTCTTCCCCGGGTGACAATTATGGACACTGTAATTTCCAGGTTTTAATGGAGCTCTAATGCAAGCAGACAAAATCATCAAGACTGAATCCCTCTTGGTGGTTTCTGGGCCAGACCTATTGTCCTGTAGCTGTGTTGTCCAATCCAATAGCCACCAGCCCTACGCGGCCATTGAGCACTTAAAGTGGGGCTAGTACAACTGAGATGTGCTGTAAGTGTAAAATACACACTGGAATCCAAAGACTTAATACAAAAAAAATAGGACATAAAATATCCCATTAACAATCGTTTGCATATGAAAATAATATTTTGGATGTATTGGATTAAATATATTAAAATTAATTCCACTTATTTATTTTTAGCTTTGTTAAGGTGACTCCTAGAAAATATTAAAAGACATATGTGGATCCTAGTATATTTCTACTGGACAGTGACATTCTAAAGGATCAGCTACCCCTCCCTATCTCCCTTATACTGGAGTTATGACCTAAAAAGTGGAACTCCCTAATTAGGCAGGCAGCAGTCAGCTAGGAGAGACTTGGGGTGTCTCTTTTGCAGCAAGGAAAAGTGGGGCTCATGTAGCATACCTACCCTGCCACAGGAGAAAGCAAGCGGCAGCCTCAGTAAAGGGGGTGGGTGAATGGGGACATATATTCATAAGAGGAGGATGACTTGACACTTCTGATTCAAGCCAATGGTTGGGAGGAGAGGGGATGTGGGGACCCAAAGCCTTAATTGTCCAGCCCCCAATCCCCAAATTCCTTTTGCTTCACTCATACTCACAATCATAACTTGATGAGTTTTTATGAGGTAGGAAGGGTCCTCCAATATAATCACATGACTTGTGTCCTTACAAAAACTGTATGATAACTAAACAAATATTTTGGCCAATGTGAAGTTTGTCTTTTCTATATAAGTAATTTAGAAATAGTTTCCACCAGATTATAATCGCCTAATGTACACAAATATCTATAAAAATGACTAGCCCAAGTGGATATTTCCAAAGAGGAAATTTTGCCAATTATTATACCATCAGCTAATGAAATTAGTACTGTTGGAAAAATACTGCCAAAGTAGATTGTAATCTTTCTCTTTTTTTTTTTGAGCAGAATCATAACCTGACGGTTTCTGGAACAGAAAACAAACAAAAATCAACTCAATGTGTCTTTGTCCAAAATTTCCAAACATCTATATGCATGCATGTGAACAAAAGGCATTTAGATATTACCTAAAGGTTCAGTAAAATGGGTTTCTTTTATACCTACCCAATTCTTTTACTAAGAGTGCAAAGTAGATTTTAAAAGTTTAACTGCCTAATGCTTGACCTTTGGTTTCTGATTGCTGCCCATTTATCTGTGACTTAAAGATGCCATAAAGTTGCTCTCCTTCAGAAACCTAGAGGATCTCAGTTACACTTTTATGACCACACATTACCACCACGATATAGTGAATGAAATACAATATTTTGATTATTCAGGGCAGTGCGGAATGACTTGTTCTTGCATCACTGATCGAGTTCCCTATCAATTACTAGAGATTAATGAAATTTTTTAATATCAATATGTCATACCTGTGGACACAACAGAATATTACAGCCCAGTTTTGCAGACAGTCTGTTATTTTATTGCACAGATTTCACTTAAAGAACAAAATGCACCATCAATGTTTGGAGAGTTTGGGGTCTCAGATACTGATACACCATCAGTGTTTACACCCGTAAAGCCAAATTCAACAGTACAATTTATGTTAAACAATATCACTTCAAGATAGCTAACAGAATGAAAATAGAGAAAAGGAAAAAAAAGCTTGTTAAATGTGTTAAGTTGAAGCATATGCAAGTGTAGGATTAAAAACTACATCACACAAACCTGGAAATCAAAAATGTTTTGTGGAATGTCAGAGTTATGCTCACTTGTACTGTTATTTATCATATAATTAAAGTCTATTTGGTTCATTTCCTTCATACTGATGAATTGAGAATTTCAGGAAAACCATGGTTATAAAAATGAACAATCTTGAAAAAGTATTTACAGATAAATGTAAAATCACAAACTAAACAATATCCCCACCCCTTGCCCTCGACTTACAAAAGGGAAACTCTCATGGAGGGAAAGTTCCACGATTCCTCTTCCTCTCCCACCCCACGTCCCCAATTCTGTCTTTTTTTATCACTTATAACTAAATGACCTTGGAGCTGACAAGGAGGGAGGGAACAGAGAGACATCTTTATGAGGCTCTCATTGTCATCTGTAACAGTTTGAAAAGTCTTTTCTTTCTCTCCCCCACACCCAGTTCAGCAATGTTTGCAAGGTATTTAAAATTTAGAGGGAGGAAAAAAAATAAAATAAAAAATTATGTATGTGTATATATAGATATCTATATATCTATATCTATATACACACACACACATACAAAGGAATGCCCAAGAGCTAATAGTGGGCAAAACCGTGAGAAAAATGTGTGGACATTATCAGAGCTAAAGATTTAAGAGAACAAAATGGGGAGGGTGGGAGTTGTTAAGACTACAAAATGCCAGACAGGATGCTTTTCTAGACCTTTGGCTTTGGAGCCAGAGAGAGGGGAGTGGGCTCCCCCACTATGACTGTGGCGAGCAAACCTAGGGCCATGGGCCCAGCACCCGCAGCACCTCCACGGGCAGGCTGGCAGCCCTCTCATACATGGGCGCTCTTGGCATGAGTAGGGGAGCTGGAACCAGAAGAGTAGTAGAAACGGTTTTCACCAAACGACTGGGCATCTCCAGCGCAGCAGACGATGACACAGCCTCCCACGAGGCACAGCACAGCACCGATCCAGCCCGCGTACAAGGAGTACCCAAAGCTCACGATGGTGGTCTCACGATGGGCACACACAGGGAACCAGATGGTGGCGACAATGGCACAGAGAGCTGGGGAGACACCGAGAAGGTTGTGACTGGACATACCCATCATATACCAGGTGCAGTGAGCAAGCCACCCTTCATGCCACATGCACACACCCTGGCTTCCAACCAACTCCAAAAACACTCGATACACGCAGCTCTACTCCCTGAGCAATCTGAACCTAAAGGTTTGCACAAGTAGAATAAGCTGATCAAAAGCTTGTGTCAAACTGCTAGAACCTTATATTTCCAACGGATGGCAGAGATGAAAGAACACCAATGTAAAAACCTAGAAATAAATCATTTAAGTCCAAAATATGTGTTGGCATTTACTTATATATCTTTATATATCAAAGTTATAATTCTATTATTGCACTTAACTAATTGTATTATAATTATCTCTTTACATGTCTATTTTCCATTCCAAGTTCTGAGTTCTCTGAAGGCAAGGGCTATGTCTTAACCTACATTTGTAAAGTCAGCATGTAGTTCGGGAAAGCACATAGTACGTGCTCAATGCATACCAGTTGAATGACAGAATGACATGAGCTATTTAGAAATGAGAAACAAGATAATGCCCACTTCGATTTTCTACTACATTTTTTCAATTTAGTAAATTCACATTACAAAGACCTGAAAAAGCTATGAAAATTCTCTTACTGTGGTAAATTATTGCTAGACATCAGTGAAGCAGCAGCTAAGAGTTTGAGTTACGCTGTTCACAATCACAAAAATCTCAACACAACAATGAATAGCCTTGGAGTAAAAAAGTTTACCCATTCAAGGATCTTATGGTGATGATATTTGTTGTGATGGGATCCCAATGGTAGAACTTTACGATCTTGCACAAACAAGTCTAACTTTCAGATTTGATTTAGATTTTAAAGACTAAGATAAGAAATAGCCTCTATATCATCTAGTTTTTCCCCTCCTCCTTAACAAAGTAACAAAACAAGGGCAGGCAGCAGCCTATAATGAAAACAAAAAAAATGAACACTCTAGACCGGCACGGTCGAATAGGGTAGCCACAAGCGACATGGATTATTGACTGTTTCTCCTGAAGCCAGTGAGACTGAAAAACCGAATTCTGAATTGTAATTAACTTAAATTCAAATAATCATATTGGCTATTGTGCTGAACAACACAGCTCTATACAAAGTAACTCCATAACTTCCTTTATCATCTGATTTCTCACAACCACAAGCAGAACAGAAATTTTAGTTAAAGCTTTAAGCTGGAATAACACATTAAGGTTCACAGACTAATAGTAATAATAATAATAATAACAACAACAACAATAATAATAGTTTTCAATCATTAGCCATAAATTCAATAAATTCAAGACAGAGCATTGCAATATTTCCTACCTGGGGAACCTTTGTTACATTTAACTCAGCAAGCTTTTTCTGATTTTTACTCATATTGAATGATTTTCTAACTTACCTCTATACTCACAGAGAAGCAATATAATTTTTCTTTAACATAACCACTCAAATCTAACAGCCCCGTACATTAGAAACTGAAGAAAAGATTTGTCTAAACCATTTTGAAAGACCTTTTAAACTATCTCATTGCATTTGTGTAGCTTGTAACATTGGCTTTGATGATAAAACACTAAGCCCACTTCCACCAGCTAGGTATCCAATACACCTAAACAGAGGTGATTCCTGTCCTTAAAATCTATAGATCCCAAGTGGAAGTCAGAGGGAAAAGTGAATTTGAGGCCTTTGAATTGCTCAAACTGGCTTTCTAAGAGCCTAAATTCACTCCATTCATTGTAAACTATTCACATATTTAAGGAGTTTATATAAATTATCTAAGAAGCTAAAATCTATCCACATGTCAATGGTTGCATTTTTCTTGAAGAGTGAGTACAATCATGCCAGCTTCTGTACTATTTATATATAAGAAGATGTATTTTCCTTCTGTGACCAGAAGACCAGTGTTAACTGTATCTTCCCTTTCCAGCCGAGGGCTTTGAACACCTGATATAGAGAAACATCTTTTTCTTTCTCTTCCTCTTGCCAACGCTCCAAATCCAGCCTTCTTGGAGAACTGCTTGGCTAGTATCATTGTCATACTCCCAGTGAGGCACAGATAAAAGCCTTTTTCTCTAACAGGACAAGGGACTAACACCTCTTCTCCAGTGTTTCAGCCAGAGAGACCCACTCTAGATTCTTTGTATCAATGCACACTCCAGCTAAACACCCCTAGACCCTAAAAGTGGGAATTTGACTGCTATGGGCAAAAACAGCAACCTAGTGATGGCTTCCAAACACCCAAGCTTGACAGAGGGAAAAGGTGGGGAGTGTAAAACTGAATTCCATAGAGGAAAGATTTGATACTCAAACAACCGATTTGGTTCAATCCAACTGATCTTTCCTATAAACAAGTAACCGGTTTCAAAACAGCTTATGGTTAAATTAAGTTTTATATTTTTCAATTCTTTGTATTTACACATACAACACACACACACACACACACACACACACACACAAAGCATTCCCCACATGTCACATAAACCTGACTTTCAGATTCAGTTTAGATTTTATAGAATAAGATTAGAAATTACCTCTAATTTCATTTAATTCTTTCCCTTATTAGTTTAATAAGCAAACTAGTAAAACAAGATTATCTTCACATAAGGAAAGAATCAGACTCAATATTTCAAAAGTAATCATCAATCTTGATGTTGAGTGTTTTAGGGATTTTGTTAGGTTTTATTCCAATATAATTCACTAGAAAAGGAAAAATCATAAAAATGTCTAAATATTTAAATAATGAACCTATAGGACTGGATGAGTGAGTGGGTGGATGGACACATAGATGGATGGGTAGAGGAGAGGTAGTCTCATTCCAAGTCTACTTTCCACTTCAACACACCAAAACTGACTTCCAAAATCATAAAACCTTCATATGACTTTAACACACATAAAGTTACAAGCTCATGATTTACCTCATTAAAGATTGCTTTCTTTTATATTCCATGCAAAACAAGACGAATGAGCACCAGCAGGCTCTTTATTTCCTAGTAGATAAATGAACTCTGAGTGGAATTCCTGTGGCTCTCAAAGATGAACCACATCAAAACCACTAAAGGATGACAGACGGCCACACAACATGAAGGGAAATGAGAGGTTCACTGGAAACTGTGACCTTCAATTGAACTCACAAGGAAGAATGTTTACAAACTAAAAAGGGAGAAGTTACTCAATCTCAGCAGTGATTTGAAAGGAAAAGATGTTTTAATCAATAATGTTAAAAATGGAAATCAAAACTCAACTAAAACGCAAAATATTAACAGAACTGGCAATGATTTTTGGCTTTCTTTTTTTTTTTGAATTTTTGTAAGAGTTTATTTGAGCCTAATTTTTGGCTTTCTTAAAGACAAAAAAGACCTGTTAGATTTCTCTTTGGAGAGAGAGAGAGAGAGAGAGAGAGAGAGAGAGAGAGAGAGAGAGAGAGAGAGAGAGAGAGATTGTAATGGCCCCCCCTCTGTTATTTCAGGAAATTTTTTTTAAGTCTTTCTTAAAAAGTCACAGGTACCTGTAACATAAAGAAAATTGAAGAAAGATAAAGGGAATTGTCATTGGTTTTCTTTTATGTCATCAGAAATTATTTTTTAATTAAGTCTCTAAAAGTAAGACAGGGGAATTTTAACACTCAGGTTTTCCAATCTGTTTCTCCCTTCTACTTGCAGAAGATGCAATAGTTTACTGGGCAAGGGGGGAAATTCTGTCATTAGTGGGGGGAAACAGTGAAAATTGGGGATGGTCTTAGCTTAATAAACAAAAGAAGGAGAAGAGCAGAAGAAAGCTTCACTGTGTAAACATAGATGCATCTGGACTTGGTCCTCTACAAGTAGAGAGCTCCTTGCTCTTTATTGAATAAAATTGTTTGCCTCTTTTGATAAGTTTCAAATAATGTAATATAATGTGTTCTTTATTTGATAGAATACACCCTTATTAAAAGTTAACAATGATCTTGATGTAGCCAAACACAGAATATTTGGAAAGGCAATTTTAGAGCAATGAAATGTGTAATAAATGTAGTTTTTAAAACCTTTAAGGATTAGATGACATGTGGTAACACATGGAGTTAAATAAATGTGATGAAGTTAAATAAAATTGGCACAGGTGTGTTTGGAGGTAACAACTTAGAGAAAGAGAGACAGACAAAGCGGCCATGGAAGACAGAAGAACACCAGACCAACATTTTTTCCTTCCTCCAATGAACAGCTCTGCTTTCAGGTTTTGTCACTTTCAGTACGAAGCACTGCAAGGGCTTTTAAAAGCATCATTTCTAACACAAAGCAATATTTTCATTAAAATCACTTGTTAGTCTGACTTATATTAGGATTACTGAAAATAATCTCCCTTGATATTATATCTGAGATTTGCTTAAAAAAAAATATCTGGGGACTGGAAGGAAAGGAGAAGTAGACAGATGAAGCAGATGGGCCATGCATGAGTTGATCATTATTGAGAATGAGTTTGGGTTTATGGGGTTCATTAGACTGTTCTTTCTATCTTGTGTACGTTTGAAATTTTCCATAATAAAACCTTTTTTAAAAATTCCCCTCTATTTAACATTTTACAATACATTGAACACTGTCCTCTACAATCTATACTATTATCACATACGATCTAAAGAGCAGTTAGCTTTAGCTTTTCACAAAGAAGCCAGTTAACTCAAGGCAACAAGTAATGAGATTTCTAACAAGCTGTTGGTTGGAATTATATTTATTTGTTGTTCTCTTATCATTTGAAATTAGAAAAAAAAGTTTTTTTCATTTATCATTCTCTAAATTTTGACCTAAGAAAACACAGCCGCCAAAGGACAGTCCTCTTACACAGTGACTTTTACGAAGACCTAATACATACCACAATCATCAAGTCAATGGAATATTTGAATGCATTATTTTCCTGGCCTGCTTTCAACATTTTTTCCCTCTATTTTGATTCCACACATCATTATATGTTTTTTTCTATGTCCTTTTTAAAAAGCCAATCTCATGGCTGTTTTTGTTTTGTTCTGTTTTGTTTTTGTTTTTTTAATATCACAGAATTTAGAGACTGGAGAGACCTCATAAAGCAGCCAATTCTTCCGATTTTACTGAGAAGGTCATTTTAAGCCACAACCATATTAAGATGCCATTTGATTTAGAGTAGGGACTTGTTTGTATTAAGCTGATGAATTTGGAAGAAGACCTTTTCTAACTATTCTAATAAGACCCCGAGAGTAAGGACATCACTGTTTATTCCACACCCAAGGAATCCCATTCCCTATAGGACATCTGATTCTGTGTGCATGACAAGCTCAATTTGTCCCACATTTGTACACACCCTTTATTTTACCGCAATTTCATTAACTTGTTAATTCCAACTTAAAACACTTTTTCCCAATACAAATAGTATTCCTGGGGCCATATTTTTTAAAAGGAGAGAAGATGAAAGAATTCCACTTAGGAAGGAAAATGCATTTCCTTCCCTTTCATTCCCCACCTCCTCTCCCCGGGAAATAACCAAATCAAGTACTTCCTAATTTATAGGGAGATGAGACTCAGACTGAATCAGAACTAAGCGTGAGCATTTTCTGTTGGGTAGTTTAACGTGGCTTTTTATAGTGGAATAAAAAACCTCCACCTATTGATCCCAACACACTGGTTTCTACAAAGTAACACAGGAAATATTTCCACGAGACTAGCATTAGACCTAGTGTTTCCAGGAGCGGCTCACTGTCCCTCCTTATCAGTCCCACATGTGGAGATGATTACCCTGCAGAAATTAGACATGACCGGAGAATTCCCAGTTGCCCTCTGGATTAGGTCTCTATTTCCTCTAACCAACAACAGCAATAATAATAGCAGCCATTTGTTGAGCATGAGCTATGCGCCAGACACCCTGCTAAATAACTTACATATAACATTTCACTATGCTTACCAACCTCAGAAGAAGGTATTCTTGTCCTCCTTTTATATAAAGACTCAGAGACACTAAGTAACTACTCCAGTTCACACAACTAGAAAGTGGTAAACCCAAGATTCAGTACAGTTGGTCTGACTCCAAATGATAAGATAAATCAATTTGGGGCGTAGACACCTCCCGCCTCAGCAGGGGCTTTTGAAAAACCACAGATTAGATTCGCCTCAGCCCCATCCCCATCTGAGGAGCCTGCTGCTCCTGGACCTGCTCATCTGGGTTAAGAAGCCGGCAGCATAGGGCTCCCATCTGCTCCCCCACCGCAGGAACCAAATCCTCACACCGTTACACTTAGACTGCCGAGGAGATAAAGCGGCTGTACAACAGACATAATGTGTTTAAGCTCTCAAACAAAATAATTAAAGATTTTCAGGATCAGGAAGAACTGATTTTAATTCACAGTGCTTCAAGTTTCCATACCAAGATTAGCTTCAACACTATTTCCAGTTCCCGGGCCCCTAAATCCCCCCTGTGCTGTCTGGTCCCTTTGGTCAGCGACCACACCTCAGCTCGAGCGCCATCGGTGATCCCAGGGACCCAGCGCAAGCCCAGCACTGGCTTCTCCTGCAGAGGACGAGCGGCAGAAACCAGCCCAGAGCAACACAAAGGGAGCCTTGACTCTCTCTTGCTCCTCCCGCCCTCTGCCAACAGGGCAAACAAGGATCTCTGGCTCCATGGGGAGAAGACCTAGAGGAGCCCAGCAGGTGCCACACTTGAGACAATAAGCTTTACATTTCCAGAGCTAGCTCGTTCCAGTCAAAACAACGTCCAACCCAAGGCAAGTGGCAACCCCCTGAGCAATCAACCCAGACAGGAGTCACCAAAAAGGAAGCAGGTGACACTGGAGATGCAATGATGCAAGAAGGCAAGGGGCAGTGCCTCTGTCCACTCCTAACAGCCAGTGACCAGAAAGCTACAGCCTCTCTCTCGGGGTGCCTCTCTCGGGGTTCAGATCACTCAATACCCCCTTTCATCATTTCACTCCAGGCAGCAAATGAACTGAGGAACTCATATCATTACCCAGGCCCACCTCACTTTCCTTTCTATGATTCTGTCTACATCCACCCATTCATTTGAAAAAGATAGAACTTTATTTAATTTGGGCAGGAAGTTTCAAACAACTGGTTGCTATTTTTTTAAATAACCCTTCTTATTTAACCAGACGATTCAGTTGTTTTTAAGGGGGTTTTATATACCGATTTGTCTACATGTGTTTTGCTTTTATGTCTTTATGTTCCACAGGGTTTGAGTTCGGTTTTGTGGGGTTTGTTTTAAATGTATCCTCTTACTTGTGGCTATTCTGTGACTCTTATATTGTAGGCCAGAATTTCTAAAGATGAACCCCTAACACAACAGACCCATCCTTCAGCTTTGTATCCTCAGGGCCAAAGAGAGAACCTTCTGGAGCTCCTGTAAGAGAGGAAAGTCACAACCAACAGCGAATGTTTAGGATAAGAAGGGTTTCCCCTGGATTCCACAAAACCAGTTTACTTGTAGAACTTCAGTCTACCCATTAGAAAGGGGATTTGGACACAAAGGTCTGACCACACAAAGTACCACAAGAGGGGACCCCCGTGAGTTAGACGAAGCCCTTGAGGCTGACTGTGTGTTCTGTGTGTCACTCCCCCACAAATTCTTTGTGGCTGTAACCAAAATGTCCATACCCACATTCTTTTCTGGAAATGACAGTGGTTTTCTGGTCTTTTCACTCCTGTTATCACACACACACACACACACACACACACACCCTCCTCTGAATTCTCTGTGGCTTCACAAGCCCCTGAAAACCTTCATCCCTTTGCCATCTTGTGAAATGGTGCCTCTACCTCTCATATCCCCTCACCTCATCGGTGTCACTGTGGATGACCATCACTAAGTGGCAATGACCCACACAGAGCTCTGATCTCATACCCTTATCCCTCAAGCACATGGTCTGATACCAGTTTGGGGATGGGAATTCCTTGTCTCAGGAGAACCTGACTTTATATCTAACCCAGTTCTCCTCATTGATGTATCAGTGCACTTTGCAACAAGAGCTGCTGTTCTTAAAATGTATGTCTTCTAGACAGCATTTAGAATGTGCTGATGGAATTAGCATTCAAGAAAAAAAAACAGATATGAAAACACTGAAGAGAAGAGCTAGAAAGGCCCTCCCTAGGTGGTTAAATCAAGCCCTCTGTGTGAGGGAGTAACCAGGAAAAGAGGACGAGTACACGCCATTTTCTGGGCGAAGACGGTCCCTCCTCTAATCCGTGACCTGATTACCTTTCCTCCAACTCTCTGGGGTCCTCTGCTCTGGGAAACTGCTCCAGTCTGGTGTAGGTGCCTTCCTAATGTGTGCACAGCTTGTGTTGCCTTTTAAGATGAGCATATACCACTCTCTATCAAGATGTCCAAGTACACTCAAAGCAGACACTGCCTTTTTCCAGTAGCCCCAGTGCCTACCGTGGTGCTAGCACTCAGCGAGTGCTCAATGAATGCTTATTAAATGAAAGACTGAGTCATCACCTAGTGATCGACCACCCTCAACATCTTACTTTTCTCTTGCCCTTCTCTTTCTCTATTCTTCTTTATACATTAGCTAAAGTTTTCGATCCTGACTACTCATATGAGTCGCCTGGGAAGCTTTCAAAAAATATCTTTGTCTGGACTTATAACCAGAAATTCTGACTCAGTTGACCTGCTCTGGGACCTGGGCACTGGTGTTTTCAAACAGAAATTCCAGCATGAAGCCTGAGTGGAGAGCTACTGTGTGACTTTTCTGTCCTTTTGGTCTCTGCCTTAGCTATTACACTCAAAATCCTTTTGTTTGTTAAGTTATGTTCATGTTCAGTGACCCATCCATCCCCACCCCCCCACAGACATGACTTATCCCTCTGTGTAAACTGCTCATGAAACATAAAGGGATATACATGGGGCACAGGGCTCTATTCTGCAGAGGATTCACTTGGCTTCCATTCTTGAGCTGGATGAAGCAGCAGCAAGAGTTGACATTCATCAGGTTTATGCAGAACTGGGCGCCACATAGAAAGCTGTCTTACCCAGCAGAATGAGCATAACACCAGCCAGCTGAGCCCGCCTGTACTTGGCCACGCCAGGCTCATGGCCCATTCGGATGCAGGGGAGAACTGTCAGCAGTAGGAGAATGGCCGGTAGGCCCAGGACTGAGGCTGCAATCATCAGGGCTCGGCAGGCCTGCACATAGCCTGGAAGCAAGAGAGCAGACAGGGTGGGTTAGACCACGGGTCCCCTTGGATTCTGAACCCCGCCTCATGGGAATTCAGCACCACTTGTCTTCCTCCCTCTTGCCCATTCCAGGACTTAGAATGTGTTAAATGTTGCCCATGATCACTTCACATGTTTAAAGTGAGACAGTGACAAAAAAGGGAGGTTGATGGCTGGAGAGACTGAATGGGGATCCCTGGTATAGACGACTTGTCCAAGCTTCCAGGATGAAAGGACCAGGAATCCAATTACACTATTATACCACCTTGGAAAGATTCAGAATAAAACTCAAATCTTCCAAGAAGTCTTCTGTGATAGATGGGCTGTTGGTTCCAGTCAGCTGTTGCTAGACTCTTGGGCAACTTACTGAACTACTACTGTGTCTTGACACTTTCCTCATGTATAGAGTAAAAATGATAATAGTACCTATATCTCTCTAATAGAATTCAACTAAGATTAAGCTAGTTAACTCATGCAGTGCTTAGAACAGTGCCTAGCACATGCTAAGTACATACTCTAAAAAGGTTGGCTATTATTACTGGTGTTATTACTCCATTGTCATTGCTTCAAAGGCATCCCTCCAGCTCCAGAGATTCTTAGATGGCTGACACCCAGAGGTAACACAATGCCCACAACAGATGATGTAAACATAGTACAATTATGAATGAAGGAATAAACAAGTTGAATAATAAGAGTGGAGTAAAACTAGAACTTTATACTGTCAAATAAAATGCCAGGTAACAATTTTATTAAGAAACAGCTTACAATATGTACAATATTTATGTAAAATAAATCTGACAAGATACTGGGAGAATACGACAAACTTAAATATATTGTTTCTCATTGAAACACTCTCCCTCCTCCAAAAAAAGGGGGTTGTATTTATGACTCTCCCTTTTGGCTTAGAGTGACTTAGAGCTAGGATGGCCTGGGGGAGGCAGTTACTGACAAAACCAAAAACGAGCCCCAACTCCTGCCTCACACACCAGGACCCTTATAACAAACCTGGCAAGCCTACCCTGTGCACAGAGACCCCCTGCAACACTCTCTTAGCAAGCTACATATGCTTTGCCAGAATTCAGACTCCTTGAGAGTGCTCTTCTGACCACTGCCTATCCAGCTTCTTCAGAACTAAGGGTAATCAATCAGTCAAGTATCTATTGCCTTGAAGATCCCTGGAGAAACCCACAGGAAGTCTGATGCAGACCTCTGGACATAGCCCTATGACCCTCTGGCTTGTAGGACAGCTGGGGATGGCACAATGGAGACAGTCAACTAGAAACCGAGCTTCTGAAATTCATGACACAGGCTGTCCACATGCTGGGTGTCAAGGCCACGTCTGGAAATCAAAAGATGAAGACTGAAATCTGGCCATGTCCCCACCCAAAGTGTGAGGGACAGGGAGAGCAAAAAGGATTAGGCCCTCCTTAAAATGCACTCCCCTCTGTCAGAGGGTCTATGTTTTTTTTTTTTTAATAAACCACTTGGTACTGAATGCTTCCTAAACTTAATTTCAGGGAAAGGGGGCAGACAATAATTTTACACTTCAGTCAAAGGTTCCTACAAATATCTTGCCCAGCTTTTAATAAAAAATTATAGCTACCACTTATGGAGTATCTACTACACTATACCAAAAGAGGTTTACATTTCTCATCTCACTTAATCTCCAAAATAACCCTGAAAGATAGGGGATTGGTTTGATTTTAATTTTCAAAAGAAGGCACCTGGGGTTCATAGAGATTAGTAACTTGTCCAAATCACCCAAACTGTGAGCAGGGGATCTGAAAGCCTGACCAAGATCTACCAATGCCAGCGTTCGGTGAAGCTGGGTCCAGACCTGGGTTCCCAGGACCTCTGTCATTCTAAAAGTCCAAAATGGAGAAAAGGATTGAGAGCACAGGACTAACTTGCATTGTGCACACCTCCTGTGCGCCGGTGGCAATGCTAGGTCCAGGAAAAAATGCAGAAAAGTAAGAGGCCATCTATATCTTGGTGGAATTTAAAATGCAGTAGAAGTGGACTTATGAACAATGAACAAAAAAACAAGTAGAAAAGTGCCTTGATGGTGATAAGAGCCAATAATACCAGGGCAGCCACGAGGTGGGGTGGGAGATTGATTCTCAATCTTCTGACTCTCATAGGAGGCACTTAAGGAGAGGCTTAAAGTGGGAGCAGAAAGTCGGGGCGGGGAGTGTGGGGGAGGCAAAGGGACGGGCTCCCAGACTGGCGGCCTCGGGGTGGGGGTGGGGGGGAGTTACTTCGCTTGTTAAGGAAATTGGGAGATGCCATTAAATGCGCATGACCCACAAAGACCAGCGGGACAAAGGCAATCTGTACTACAGTCCAGGGCCAATAAAACCGCCGGGCAGGGCAGAGATTCCAAGCAGAAAACCCAAAGGGTGCCCGTAGCCTCGCCAATCACCCAACTAGCTCGAGGTTTAAATCTGAATTGGAACTGTTACCCAGACTTTTTCAACAGGGCAGCAAGTGAAGACGAGGTCTCCGGCCGACCTCGCCACTTGCCCCTTCTCTACCCACTCCGAGACACCGCTGGCGGGGAGTGCGCGACCCTTGGCGGCGCGCCTTCTCCAGAGGTAGAGTCGGCCGTCCAGGGGCGCCTGTTCTTCGCAGTGCGCCCGGAGCGGTGCGGAGGCGGGGAGGGAGGGTTGGCTGGGCAGACGGATGCGTCCAAGGCGGGGGCACCGGGTAGGAGAAATAAGACCAGCTCCGGGGCCAGCGGAAACCCACCTGGCGGAGCTAGGAGGGCCCTAACTTGGCCAGGACGCCTCGCCCGTCCACGTCCCACGAGAACAGAGGAAACTCGCTGGAATGCTTGCGTTTTTCTCTCTCGTCGTCTCTGCGGGTGGAATCTAACGGGAAAGCAGGACGCCTGCGCACGGAGGCCGGGCGGGGGAATTAAGTACTTTTGGTCAATCGACAGTGGGATCATGGGGCAGGTGGAACAACGGTAATTAACATAAGCGGAGTTCCTGCTATGTATCTACGTCTCAGGTCATTAACTTGTCAGGGTGACTCGGTCAGTGGCCACCACTATCCTCCCAAATTCCAGATAAGAAAACTGAGGCTGAGAGAGGCTAAATTTGCTGCTAATTCCTCTAAAACAAGGTGGGACTCAAGGTGTCAAAAAATGTGCTCGACAATCTTCAAGCCCTCAAAATGTTTTGTCTAGCGCCCCCCTCCCTGTCAAGGGTTTGGGAGCAGCCACTTGCAAGGCGGGGGTCCTTACCCGGCAGGATGAGGATGTCGACCAGGGGCTTGCAGTGATACAGCCCCGTGGCCATGACGCAGTCAGCCCACAGCCCCTTGGAGCCCAGTTCGTCCAGCTTGCGGCAGGTGGGGATGGTGTAGCCGCAAGTCACCACCCAGTCATTGGTGGACGTGGTGACGATGATGCCGATCCAACCCACGAAGCTCGTGACGAAGCCCACTACCTGCAGGCACGTGGCCACCATCATAGCCGTCCCGGGGTCCTCGCGCCTCGCCCCTCACTAACTGTGCCCGCGCACCGGGCTGAACGGCGCCTGCCTTGGTCCTCCCTCTCCCGAGCTCGCGAGCCGCTGTCCAGCGACGGCCCGATGCGGAACGCTCGAGGCGGCGGCCGGCCACGAGAGGCTGCGAACCCAGCTCCGACTGCGCGACGGGCGCACGGCTGGCACAGCGACGGGCGCACGGACGGGACAGCGATGAGGCTGGGCAGCGGACCCCCCCGCCCCCCTGCTTTAAACCCCGTAGCCCCAGCCGGCGAGCACCAATCGGCAACGGCCCTGGGCCGAGCCGACCAATCACAGAGCGGGGTCCGGAGTGGGGTGTGGACTCGAGCGGAGTAAGGGAGCCGGACGATCACCCTGCTCAGCCCCTCCGGCGTCGCACGGTCAGGGTTGGAAAAGTAAAGTAATTCACATAGTTCTCTCTAGGTCCAAGAAATGCAGCGCACCAAGGGGGCTCGCGTCAGGCAAGGAGAGTTCTGTCTTGCTGGGAATTCTCTTCCTGTTGCCCCTCTCATCTATGTCTCGGGGTCTCCCCTACGCTCCATCCCACCTCAACTTCTTCCCGCTCGCTCCTTCCCAGATGAGAGCAGGAACAGCCGTACTCCCACGGGCGCCTGGTACAGTTCTTCCACGGCCCAGGATTGTAACTGATGAGCTAAGAACAGCATGAAAGAAGTTAAGTTGCCCAAGTTCACACAGCTGGTAAGGGGTAGACACAATGGGACCATCTCACCACCCCACCACCCACTAACCATCCCTGGAAACCTGTCCTGATTACCAATTCCTGAAAATTACTAAAGGGCTCACGAATCCCATTTGTGACACATTAAAAGCTAGGCCGACTGCTCCAGGCTCGCTGTAATAAATGATTATCTGCACTCCACTGAGAACACAGCCTAGCTCACAGTGCTCTACAGTATGAGCCATCAACATCATTAATCTATCTTCTCTCCAGTAATTCAAATAAGACCTAATTATATGCATCTTTTTTATCATGTAGAGAAGTCCTCCCCTTGGGCTATATTGACATTAAACAGTTGTTGTTTTTCTGTTTGTTTTGTTTTTTAAAGATTTTTTTATTGGGGAATTGGGGGATGGGAACAGTGCTGGGGAATTGGGGGGAAGGGGAACAGACAAGTTGCTGTCGTTTTGTTCTTCAGTCTAGTTGTGGAGGACATTGCTTCACTGGCCCAAGTTGGCACCATCATTGCACTCTTCCCAGGCTAGGCAGATCAGTCGCCGGCTTCTGGATGGCTGCTCACTGCAGCTGCTGGCCGCTCACGCTGGCTGCTGGCTACATACGGTAGCCCATGGCAACCCACTGCCACAGGGGCTGCAGCCTACGCCATCGCCAGTGACTCACGACAGTCCAGCTCCAGGTTGAGCTGTTGTTCAGCATCTTAGCTGTGGAGGGCAGTGTCACTGGCCCTCATATGTGGGATCCGAACCAGGGCCCTCTGGGGTCCCAAGCCAGTTCTTAACCATCGCGCCACTGGCCAGCCCGACATTAAACAGTTTTAACTCCTTTTATACAATTGGCTCGTCTCATTATATCCCCCTATCACCAGTCATGAGATGTAAAGGTGTGAAGGATTTCACCAAGCACAAAAACTTCCTACTCAGCACTCTAAGATATGGATCATAAATCATAGATACTGAGCTTTCCTGTAGCTATCCCTAATGCTGGGGGTCAGGGCAAATCACCATGTCTTCCAGGGAAGACTGACCTGGAGGAGACCCCAAAGGAATCAAGTACACAAAAGGGAAAAGCTCTGTAATGGATAACAGAGTGTTGAGTACAAGGGCCACCAAAATCACCCAGGAGAGCACAGCGGTTAAGAAGGAAGGCCAAGCTGTCTGGGTTCAAATCCTGACTCTGTCATGTAACTAGCTGTGGGAAAGTCACTTCACTTTTCTGGGCCTCAATTTTCTGATTGTAAAATGGGAATAAAAAGAGTGCCTACATCATAGGTTTCTTGATGATTATGTAAATTAATACATATATGAGTACAGAGCTTAAAACCATGTCAACTACAAAGTAAGTCCTCAATAAACCCGGGTTAGTGTTATTATGATGGTTCAGAACTCTTCCTTTTGCGCTTTTGTGTTCTTCCTGTATTCATATAAGTTTGATTTGTGGAAACTATTATAGGAATATGTCCCTTTTATGAGTGAGCCATTGTGTTTGGGGGCATATTATCACCAGGGTCTATTGATCTGCATGTTTTCAGATACTTCCTTATAACATGAAAAAAAATAAGAATTCTGTAAAATATAAAACCCAAGCAACATCATTTCATTGAAAAGGCAGTTATAAAATCTGTACTCCTGTGCCTCCATTAGCATTCGCTATTCTAATGATAGAAATTCAAGCAATCAGAATTCAATCATGCCCAGATCATCAACAGGTCACACACACAGAGGTATTTATAAAGCCAGATTTCAGAACGCAGGCACTGAGTGGTAGACAGAGTTGTTAACATCTTGGAATGGAACCTCCCGAGTTCATATTCTGACTTCATCACTTGGGCTGTCCCTTAAACTATGTGACTCTCGGGTTCTTCACCTATAATGGAAGAATAGCAGATGCCCTATAGGGTGATTGTGAGGATAAAGTGAGATAACTTATACAAAGTGCCAAGCACTGAATGTTAGTTTATTCATAGACAAAGTAGAGCAATTGAAATTCTGAACCATCCCAGCACAGATATACAAAAGGCCACCCAAAGCGTAACCTGTTAGTGTGAATTAACCATAAGTAAAGAGAGAGCGTGTCCATTGAAAAGTAAGTGGGGCAGCCAGAGAAGCACAAGGAACTGGGAGACAAGAAGCAGACAGTGGCCATAGGAACCCTCTCTTAGCCACAGGAGATGGTATGGTGGCTCATAGACTCCAAGGATGTGGTCCCTTTGGCAAGGCTCTTTGTATAGTGGGGAAGTCCCTCAAGCTAGCTTAGCTGAAGGACTTCCCTAAAATCATCCACATTCCTAGGCTATGACTTTATTCCCCAGGCACTCCTTGTAATGAGAATCTGACTTCCCAGATAGCATAACTTAACAAACTGACATTCTAGGCCTACCACCATCCCAGGCACTCTGTTAGTTGTGAGATTCAGATTTTCAGAGTGCAGTCACCCCAGATAAACGTCGTCAACAGTGGGTCCCCAGACCTTCCAAAGGCCTTTCCAGTGATTTTCTCTCAGAAAATTTTGCCATCTTTTCACATTTCTACAGCATATAACAGAACAAGTAAGGTATACCTGATACATGATTCCAGGTCTTCCAACCTTAGGTCCAAAACTCTTTCCTTTGTGAAACATGTAAGAGTTTTTCCAGTGGGTTGAGCGTAACTTCCTTAATCTTATTCTTACTTGAAGATAGTTAAAGGGGAGGAACAGAGAGCCAGTTAGTGCGCTAAATCCCAGATGTGTTCTGAACAAAGGAAACTGCCTGGTTAACTGTTTTTCTACCATTTACATCTAAAATTAACATGTGATTCAGTTAGAGTGCTAATGCGTTGTAACACTGACAAATGTGTTTGCTGACAAGCATCTGAAGCCCACATTGAGAGCAAAGCTTCGGCTACAGGAGTAGGCTCGCAGTGACTACTAGTGGTTGTCTTTCATCATTGCATGGCTGCTAAAACATTTTCTGTGTGGAGGAGCCCATGGCTTGTAGAGAAACATGATTAACTGCAATTTCCCACATTCCATATGTGTGATCGCTAGATCCAAATGAAGTGTACATTGCTCTATGAAAATTTTCTTCAGATATTAAGAAAGATGCATCTCTTTAGGAAACCAAACATATGAAAACAGAGGACGTATGTGAAATGACTTAGGTGAGATTATTCATTTAAAAAAACCTTTTGTTTTTAAAGATTTTTATTGGGGAATTGGGGGGTGGGAACAGTGCTGGGGAA